TCTTCAATGATCTCTTCTGTGGATTTCTCTGTTTCTTCTTGTTCCGGAATGCCAACAATTCTTACATTATTCCTCTTCATTTTATCCAGCATGAATCTTAGACTCTCTTCTGATTGTTTTATCCTTTTAGCTGCTTGCTCTTCTACCTTGGCAATATTGAGAGATTTGTCTTCCAGCTTGCTAATTCTGGCTTCCATCTCTTCTAGTCTGCTCCTTTCCCCTTTCAAGCTATCTTCTATTTCTGATATCTTATTATTGATCACCTGGGTATCTTTTTGCAGGTTTTGAATTCTTTCCAATGCTGTGTCAATACTATTTGATTGTTCCTGGAGAATTTTTTTTTCTTCTTCCTTATTTTCCTCAACCTCTTTTCAGATTATTTGAATTTGTTTCCATATCATTCCTCTGAATTCCCTCTCAGGCATATCCAAAACCCACTCCTCCTCCTCTATAAAGCCTTTGTCTGTCTCCAGTTCATTTGCGTCAGCTCCCTTCTTCTGTTTTTGGACATGCTTTGATAAAGTTGATTGTTTTTTATTGGTCATGGTTATTGTTTTATTATTATGATGATGATGATCAGGAGATGGGCTTCCCTTTTCGTCTGTAATGCGTAGCAAATGTTGGTGGGTCTTGTCTAAGTGGTGGAGTACTATGTTGTAGCTTGACTATATGGCCACGATTGCTACTTCTTCTTATGGGATGTAGGGAGGCTAAGTTCCCACCTCCAGGAAGGATGTGTAATCAAAAAGACTAAAGGCAGAAGTAATATAAACGCATGGCAGAAATCACCACATTGGAGCAGATATGTGGCTTTGGTTAACTTTTTCTGTTCCCTGTCCCTGCCGACTTTCTCACACTCTCTGTGTGTGGGTGAGCTGCACCCGACCGATTTTTATTGGGATCTCAAGCCAGGGCAGGGAGACTTGGGTCAGGAGGAAGCTATATCACCTCTTGCCCTTCTGGGAGACGCCACTTTCCGAACGGGCCGGCCCTGGCTCTGCCCTCTAAACTCTGCAGTCACAGGAGCCACCCGCAGTCCCAGCAGGAAAGAGTCCCAAAATACGTGCTTTTCTTTATCTTTGTTAGCACCGTTTCTCAAAAATGTGAGTTCAGGAGAGTTTATGATAGTTTAAAAGCCATGGGACTGGTATGTGAATGTTTCCTTTGTAAGAGCCCACTCGTTTTTCCCCCAGAGCATGTGGCTACCTTCCTTGGCTAGTCCTACCATACTGGAAGTCCTCTTTCCTTGTCTTTAGCTTTGAAAAGTTTGATTACAATATGTTTAGTGTTTTTCTTTGAAGGATCTGAACTGCTTGAAGTTCATTCAACTTCTTGAATGGCTATTTCTTGTTTTTCATGATATTAAAGAAGCTTTCTTCCAACAACTCTTGGGCAATAGTCTCTATGGGTTTTTTTGTGTGTCTCTTCCTATTCTGGAATTCCTATCACACATAGGTTGTTCCTCTTGATAGTGTCCCACATAAATCTCAGACTTCCTTTGGATTTTTAAAATCTTTTTTCTATTGTTCACCTAGCAGATGAACATTGTTAAGATTTTTCTTCAAGCTCAGTTAATTCAGCTTTCCATTGGCTCAATTCTATTTCTTTGTTCTTTCATTGAATTACCTATTTCTGAACCTTAGTGTTAACTTTCCTGATAAAAAAAAAAAGCCAAGTAAATAAAGAGTATAAAATAATCTGCTGAGAAGACCTGAATTGCATCCTAGACCCTAGGAGTGCTGCAGGAGGACTTGCGTGCTTTGAGAAGTGGTGACAGAGGTGGGTCTGAAGATACTTTGATGGTGTTCAAGGCATTGGAGGAATGCAGGCAGGGAGGAAGACTCCAGGGGAAACCAAGGTTCCAGCTAAAGGAACAGAGCTGAGACCATTTTCTGAACAAACCCTCTCTAGGATGCCTGCCCGATGCTGTGGTATTATTAATTGGCTCAGCAAGCTCGCAGTTCAAACTCACCAGCTGCTCCTTGGAAACTCTATACAGGGTCACTATGAGTCAGAACTTACTCATGGCACTTAACAACAACAACAACACCGCCATTATGAAATGTAGCTCTACTTTTGATTACTAAGGAGCTCTGGTAAAGTAGTGGGTTATGAGATGGGCAGCAGTTCAAATCTACCAGCTACTCTGTGGGATAAAGATGAGACTTTCTGCTCCTGGAAAGATTTACAGCCTTGGAAACCCTATGCAGGGACATTATGAGTCGGAACTGACTCCACCGCACATAAAAGCAACAACACAGCCAATACTAACTGTAGCTCTACTTTTGATTACTATGTTCATACTTAACAAGCTAGCATTTGTTGTTGTTGTTGTCAAATGCCGTTGAGTCAATTATGACCCATAGCAACCCTGTATAGGGTTTCTAAGGAGCAGCTGGTGAGCTTGAACCACTGACCTTGGAGTTCAAATGACTTTACAGTCTAATGCATTAGCCCACAGTGTCACACCATGACTCCTAGCTAGTGTAGTGGTTACGAATTGGGCTGCAAACTGAAAGGTCAGTAGTTCGAAACTACCAGCTGTTTGAGGGAGAAAGATGAGGCTTTCTGCTCCCGTAAAGATTTACAGCCTTGGAAACCCTGTACAGGGTCGCTATGAGTCAGAACTGACTCCACGGTATATAACCACCACCAATGAAATCTGTGGCTTAGTTATGGAAATACCTAAGTGCATCTATGATCATATATAGCCCTTGACTTTGAGGAAAAGCAGCATATCCTTTCCAAGTACACCCCCATGGCCATGATTTGGGGATCGCAGTCACAAACAATGACTGTCTTCTGTGGCTCACTTACTTCAGGTGCTGGCAAAACTAATTAGATAGAAGACTTTCACTACTCAGAGTCTCCGGGATAATAAACATCTGGGGCATTTAAGGATCATATTAATCCCCAAAATGGTGACAAGGGCTGTCCCACCTCCACTCCAGTGTCAATGTCAGAGGCACTAAGTGAGAGATGCCTGTCATTATTTCACCCACCACCCAACTGTCAGAACAGGAAACTCTACAGTCAAGTAAAAAAAGATGGCAGACAAGCAAACAGATCCATTACCATGGAAGAAAGCAAAAAGCCATCGAAAGCAAAAGTTGTTCTTGTTGTTCTGTGCCGTGGAGTCGGTTCCAACCCATAGCGACCCTGTACAGGGTTTCTGAGGCTGTAAATCTTTATGGAGCAGAAAGTCTCATCTTTCTCCCATGGAACAGCTGGTAGTTTCAAACTACTGACGCTGAGGTTAGCAGTCCAATTTGTAACGACTATGCTTTACTCTTAAAGTAAGCGTGGGGAACATTTTTTCAGGCCATAGAAAATTAACAACTTGAAAATTTGCCTGCTAGATTTGGACACCATGGTTGGAAAAGTGGAGGGCCAGCGGAAAAAAGGAAGACCCCCACCTCCACCCCCAATGAGATGGACTGACATGGTAGCAGCAGCAATGGGCTCTAACGTAACAGTAATCGTGACGTTGGTGCTGGACCAGGCAGTGCTTCGGTCTATTGTGCATATGGTTGCTATGAGTCAAAATGGACTCAACAACACCTAACAACAACAGCAAACTGCTTTTGCAACGACATTTTATGTGAGATTGTGGGGTGATCTGTCTCAGTAAACAAAATGGAAAAGTAAGATGTTGCAAAACTACCATCGGAGGAAATACTATGAAGATTTGTGCTAAGAGGTCTCGAACCCTCAAGAGGTAATTACAGTCAAGACAGTTTTCTGGGGTTTGAAAACCAGTTGCAAATGACTTGTCTGTCCAGTCTTGCCATTCTGCACACATTCGAGGCAGGCTTGTTATGGGTGTTGATGATGTCGGGGGTTAATGACGACTGTGGATAGTGACAATAGTCATAATACCCTTGGTTCTCTGTAAATAGAATGTGTACCTGGAATGGAAATCACGACACTGGGAGACAGGAGAGTTGATTTCCAAGGTTGTAAACACTTTCTAGTTGGTACTCAACTCCATATCTGTTGCTCACACAAAACCCATGTTTGAAACTCTCCACAAAACTTTTGAAAAACAGTCTACTTTGAATGTATGCGTGCCTGCCTGCTTCTATTATGCAAGACATAAATATAGCTCTTGTTCAGGTATTTTTATGATAATGACTCTGGCACACACATTTGTATCGCAAAGATAGTTTGCCTTCGTTCAAAATAGATTTTACCATCTGGAGAGGAAGAATCTGGAAACCATGACAAGTAGAAGGATGGCTGAAAGAACTGGGACACTCATTCTGAGGAAGAACTGAGAATTAGCAGTGCTTTGTCCAAAAAAATTCAATCTTTTAGAACTGTCACTGGGAGATGGGCTTTGTTCTCACGGTCTCCAGGGGGCTGTGCCAGATTCCTCCAGTAGAACCCAGAGGGAGGCAGATGAAGGGTTAGCTAAGATTGGGGGCATGCTGACATGGAGATAAATATTCTGTTGACAGGGTGAGGGTCTGCTGGGAAAGGAGGTTCAGCAGAAGCTGGGAGGCAAACGATGGTCAGGCTATGGGCAGGAGGACACGCCCTACTGCCTCCTGGGTGGGCAACATTGTGAGCCTGACTCATGAGAGCCATCTCAACACACCATGGTTATGTGACCTTGACATGTTCTAAACTGCCACCTGGCTCAGTTTCCCCCATGGAAAACAAAGGATACACACTGTTAGAATGAAATGTGCTGATGTGGGGGAAGCATGCAGAATGCAGAGCAAGCAGTCAGCCGACGCTGGCAGCCCATGGGTGTTGACACGTCTGTTCTTGTCACTGAGATCACAAGATACTGGCTATGTGCACAGCTTGGCTTTTCACGGATCGGGTGCCTTACAAATCAACAGTTTTAGGTTGGGGGAACAAATATTAATCATTCATAGTATGAACACATTTTAAATGTCAAATAATGGTATCATTTGGGATGGTATATTCTAGTCAGCAAATGACAATGAAGAGAATATAAGAAAGCTAAAGACGGACCCGTGGGGGATTACCTTCTGTTTGTTGGCTGGCTGTTGATGTCTGAGGTTGTTTTCACAGACTGGGATGTTTTCCGGCCAGCTGTGATTACTGCTCCTACCTGAAATAGGAATATAACATGCACCAAGCAGCACTTAATCCCAGATGCACCTTTGAAAGCATTGCCCTGCTCCATGTGTGTCTGAAAGGTTGGCAGTTCAAACAACAATACATACTAGTGGCTGTTAAGTGTCACTGAGTCGGTTCTGACTCTGCTGTTGCTAAGTGTTGTGGAGTTGGTTCCGACTCACATTGACCCTGTATAGGCTTTCTGAGGCTGTAAATCTTTGTGGTAGCAGAAAGCCTCATCTTTCTCCCATAGAGAGACTGGTGGGCTCCAACTATCAACCTTGTGGTTTTCAGTCCAGTGCTAATCCTACAGAGTCAGCACTCTCCATATATGTATATATTTATTATTATTTATCTACATAACTTATTGTTGTTAAGTGCTGTTAAGTCAGTTTCGACTCATGGCAACCCTGTACAGGGTTTCTAAGGAGCAGCTGGTGAGTGTGAACCGCTGACCTTGAGGTTCAGACTGACCTTGCTGTCCGGTGCTTTATCCCACAGCACCACACCAGCACTCTATAAAGTTTGTGGAACATTTCATTGCCATTTAATTACATTTTTCCAGAAGTTTTTTGAAGCCTCCTAGTGGTAGCATAGTGGTAATAAGTTGGGCTGCTAACTTCAAGGTCAGCAGCTGTTCTGTGGGAGAAAGATGAGGCTTTCTGTTCCAGTAAAGAGTTACAGGCTCGGAAACCCTATACAGGGTCACTATGAGTTGGAACTGACTCCATGGCACATAACCAACCAACCACCAGTATATATATTCCCATTTAAGGAGGCTAAAATGTTTTCATTTTCTATCAAGTATTCCATGTAAGAGTCTAACTTTAGGCCTGTTGTCATGCTTTACAATATGCACTGGATTGTGAACCTCAAGGTTGGCAGTTCAAACCCACCAAACCAATCATTCCTCAGGAACCCTATAGAGGGTCTCTATGAGTTGGAAACAACTCAACACTACTTAACAACAACAACAACATTGCATGGAGAAGCCTATATCATATCATACAAAATGATCTACTCACAATAGCCTTGCAAAGACATAGCTATGCTTCAGAGTATATGATTTGTTGAATGTGAAACTGATGATCTTGTTTGTAAATCTTCACTTAATTCACAATAAAAAGTTTTGTTTTAAAATGATGAGAAGATTTGATTCTATGGACACTCACTCAGGGAGAGAAGAAAGGCTTTCTTTACCTGTGGGTTGTGGGAGTGCCCTTGTGCGATGCAGAAAGGAAGGAGCTGCTTTGGCCCCGCCCTTTCAATAGCTGCAATGAGCAGCAGACGGGAAAGATACTCATCAGTACCACAAAATGGTTTATGCCAGACTTTTTCTGAGACTCCAGAAGGAAAAAAACAAAACAAAACAAAATAAAGCAATGAATATTGCATGTACTAAAAACATTACATTTCAAGTCTGGAAGAGCTTGTTCAGAAATATCTGGAAAGAGGATACAGTCAACGTAACAAAAGCTTGTCTAAGAATGCCTTAGAAGAATTGGCCAACGACGGCCCCAATGCGATGTTTCCTAAATCATTAAAGGCCGTGAGTCATGAGGAAGGACACCTCACAGAGCAGGTGTGTAGGACAGCCATATGTGGTTTGTTTGGGCAGAGACCAATTCTAAAATGTCTTATTTGCTAAATTTGAAAATACACTAATGGCATGATTTTATTGCTTTGTATTAATTTCTTGCTGGCCAACGATGGCGTATTTTTGGATGCTTATGAGATAGAGTATGAATGTTTAGGCTATTTTAATTTAAAAACTCAGTTTGGTTTTAATTGAATGAGGAGGATGAACTAAGAATATTTTCCCACATCTTGCTGAATGTTTCCCCTTAAGGAAATGGAAAGTATTCATTGTTCAGTGGCTACTGATTTTTCAGCTCTGGTCTCTTACGCCATGTCAGTATTTAACATGAAGGAAAAGAGCAGTGGAACGGAGTCTAGAGTTTAGCAAGTGATCGCTCCGGTGCATGAGAGGGGAGCAAGGTCCTAGGTATCAATATGAGGACAAAAGCCTTCCTCTGGGAGTATCTCAGAGATGCAGCAGGACCTTTGAACTCCATGGCTCAGAGAATGGGAGGGAAATGCCCTCCACTGTCCAATGGGGTTGCACTGGACTGCAAAGTTGGTTTGAACCACAATATCGGTGGTTCAAGTTCACCAGCTCCTCCTAGGGAACCCTATAGAGAGTTGCTTTGGGTTGGAACTGACTCGAAGGCACTTAACAACAATAGCCACATGTGGCTACTGAGCATTTGAAATAAGGTAGAGCAACTGAGAGGGGGCTCAGGTAGTGTAGTTGTTCCTGAGAGCCAACAATATGCCAGACACTGCTAAGGGTTTGAGGGAAACAGACAGGAACATCTGCCTCTAAGGAGCTCTCAGCTGCATGAGCCGCACTGGAAGTCCTCCATGCGGAAAGATTCTAGAATACCCTAAACAGGGTCGCCATGAGTTGGCACTGACTCCATGTATTTCACACCAACCATTCCCATAAACAGAGTTACAGAGATGGGGACATACAGGTCCTTGTGGGTGGGTGTGATGGGCTCACCCTGATTCTTCTTCAGGACACAAGAGCACTGTCCACACTGGTTACCCACTTGGCCACGTGGCCTTTTCTGTTCTGGAATTCTCTGCCTCTTCCTTGACCCGGAAGTCTTCTATGTGTGTAAGAACCATGGAACCTATGTCCCAATCTCTCTGATCAAGGTAGAAAGGCCTGCCCTCTGTGCCTACTTAGAACAGCTCAAAAGGTCCACTCCAGCCTCAGCATTCACTGAAGGGTCGACTGGAACCACGGGTGGGCTTACAGAGTAGCTCAACCTCACCCTTTCCCAGCCCTAGCCCCTCCCTCCTGTCCACAGTTTGGTCCCTAAGAGGCAATAGGCATGCACAGCTCTCTCTGCTTCCCCAGGGAGCCCAATCATAGCCCCATGTTTATGTTCCAGTCTATTAGCTACTTTAAATGAGGCCAGGGTTAGCAAATATTCATTAAAATATCAGCATCAAAACAAAACCCTCTTAAACCTAAAGCACAAGTTGTATATTGCTTCACACTGATGCACCAAAAAGGATGCGGCACGTGTGTCAGTAGCATCTTCACAACACCCCATTCCTAATGTTGAGATCTCTCACATCATGAGCCTAGACAAAGATTCCCTCTGTTTATGGAAACACAAATAGAATCACAAATTTGGAACTTTGCATCACAAGGAATTTGCCGTGCACCAGAATCTAAAGGCACTTCTTATTTTTAAAAGATACTCTCAGCTTGTTTCATTTCAAAGATTCTTCTAAGTTTGAAAGTTAGACTGCATTAATAAATTAGCAGTAAGAAAAATTTTAGCACCAACATTCATGAAAAGAGCAAGAAAGCCTAACTGTTCCAAGTAGAGGCTAGAGGTCCTGAGTTTCACAATTCTGAAATAACGGCATTTGATTGCCCACCATGCCTGCAGCCTTGGTGCTTAGCTTCCTCTGAGAGTGATGCTACTTAACATCAACCCAGACCCCCAAACCCATTGTTATCACATGAATTTCAACTCATGGAGACCCTAGAGGACAGAGTAGAACCTATGCCCCATAGGGTTTCCAAGAAGTTCTGTAGTGAGTTACAAGTTGGGCTGCTGACCTCAAGATCAACAGTTTGAATCTACCGGCTACTCATTGGGAGAAAGATGAGACTTTCTGCTTTACAGCCTCAGATGCCCTATATAGGGTTGTTGAGTGGGAACAGACTCCATGGCTTATAACCACCACCACTGGGTCTCCAAAGCTGTAATCTTCATTCAGGGAACCAGACTGCCACCGAGCACCTGGTGGGTCCATACTGCTGACCTTTAGGTCAGCAGCTGTACCTTAACCACTCTGCCACCAGGGCCCCTTCATTAACACCAAGTATCTTTTTACTCACTTGTGCGAGTAAGAAGATATGTTTAGGGATTACTAATGGAAAAGTTCTAAGGGTCTAAATAGGTTTAATAAATTAGATCCTGTGGGACTAATGATTTCCTGGACCCATAGAGAAAATGTAATAAGCACTTGAAAATTCAATTGTGGGGTAGGTATAAATTACTGTGTTAATGATGTCATCCTCATGAAACTGTCCAAATGCAGTTGGGGGCGGGGAGCGTGGAGGTGGCAACCAAGTCCACTTTTGTACAGAATGAAGCCCTCTCCTGAGGTTCTCCTGACAGAGGCCTTTCCAGCCCCGGGTGGCAGTCTCACTATCTCTGTAAGCAGCACTTTGCAGAGAGAATCTGTTTTCAGCTAAGCATGGGGTGGCTTCTGTTGTGGCTGTTTCTGGCTCATGGAGACCCCAAATGCTGCCTGGTCCCGTTCCATCCCCTTGTCCTGTTGCAAACTAGACTCTTGTGATCTGTAGGGTTAGCAAGGACTGGTTTTCAAAAGCAGATTGCCAGTCCTTTCTTCCTAGTCTGACTTTGTCTAGAAGCCCCTCTGAAATCTGTTCATAGCAACATGCAAGCCTCCACTGACACATGAGATGCACTGGCGGTCTCCACATGGAAGGAGAGCATAAAACCACCAGTATGCAAATGCTTGACTATAAAAGTTATACATACTTTTATACAGACTCTAGATGAGCTTGGAAAAAACACAGTAAACAAATGCTAAGGAAAGAAAGATGAAATACTTGCATGCTAACCTACTCTTGGAGTCCTGGTGTTGTTCTGTAGGGTAATGCACTAGACCTTAAACTCAGTGTGAACCACCAGGTCGGTAGTTCAAATCGACCAGCTGCTCCTCTGAAACCCTATGCAGGGTTGCTATGTGTTGGAACCGACTCAATGGTACTTAACAACAACCTGTTCTTAACCTTTAGGTTTAGGTCAAACCATAGCAAATACCATTATCTGACTATTTTTGATCTATAAAAGAGTGATTTTGTGTGGTTTAACTTATGGGTTACTTATATGCAGTGGACTCAGAATGAGCAAACAATCACTGCATTGCAGA